CTTGTGAAATATTTCCAGACCTCTCTCTTAACCCAAGAGTTGTCTTGTCAATGCGGAATATTTTCTGTTGTTTTCTGACACGCCAATTCGAGCTCTCCTCTTCTTTCCCTGTCTCTGTAACAACACTTGGGTTTCCTGTCCTTCAAGAATCTGACAAATCCAAGCAAACATTGTTGGACAACAACTGCTTTTGCTTCCCAAGTGGCTTCAAGAATTGTGTCCTTCTTATTGCTTGTATACCCGCACCTGTGTTATGATTGTTGAGACTTGCGTCTGCTTGGAGCGGTGAGGCGCCTCTCTTTCGTACTCAGTTGACCCGAGTTCGATTCCCGAGTGGGGAAAGAATTTTATCTGAGTGAGTTTTCTTGGTCTTTCTGTTCGGATGTTGTATCCCTCTCAACCTGTTGCAAGGTTAGCCCTAACACTCATGGTCGAAACCTGGCATTAACAATATCAAGAAAAGACAAATGCAGTTTCCGGTACCCTTGAAAAGACATAATTGCCTTGAACCTATATCTCTTCCTAGTAAAATTGGAGGCAAACATGGTAGGGGTAGACCCAAAGAAACCTACAAAGAGAGCCGAAAGAGATAGAAGGTAGGGAAAGATTATGACAATGTGTTTTTTTTCAGAGCATCCTGGCAAAGGAATGAATGGAGAACCATGATCGCTGATGTCTGTGAAAACACCCAGACAGGGTCGAAACCTGCTGATAAAAACAATACATGTACTTGGAAAAGACAAAAGCAGTTTCCGAGGCACTTAAAAAACAAAACGTAAAGGCCTTGAGCATACAACTCTCACTGGTAACATTGGAGGCAAACAGGACAGGGGTATACCCAGAGAAATCTACTAGGGGAGCCTTAAGAGATGGGTGGCATGGAAAGATTATGATAATGTGGGTTTTTTTAAAGAGCATCATGGCAAAGGAATGAATGGAAAACCATGATCGCTCATGTCTCAAATGTCTATGAGAACGCTCGAACACTGTTCGAGTTTGAAGCAAACATTTCAGAAGAATTTCAGTAATATTTTTTTTTAGGTATGCTCATTCACCATCTAGAAGATGCGCTAAAAACATGAATTGTGTCATTTATGGCACACCTGTGTCCCATCTTCCTCCTGCGTAATTTCTTTCTACTTTGTGCGCTATGTGTCTTTTATGCGTCCGGAAGTTGTGCTCGTCTTCAAATTACACAGTCTCTAAAATGTTCTCAAGTCATTTGACTTCGTTGTCAAACGTTAATGAATGTAACGCCCCCCTCCCCCCAAAAAAAAATAAGAGGAGGTG